AATAATATTTATGGAATACTCGAACCTAGATTATTAATTATTAATATATTAATATTATTTGTCCAAACCTCATTATGAAGCATGATTCTTCGCCAAATAGGATTCCGAAGCACCAGAAGCAGCCACGTAGGCTCAGCGCATTCTGAAATTATATATAGGAAGGATTACATAATTTATTTTTATTTATACAAGTAGATATATATATATATATATATATATATATATATTATATGCGATATGAATATCAAATCCACGTATGATTACGAAACACCAAAATTAACATGTAAGCTTTATACAAGTAGATATATATATATATATATTTTATATGCGATATGAATATCAAATTCACGTATGATTACGAAACACCAAAATTAACATGTAAGCTTGACCATGTATTTACAGGAGGATGTTTGTTTTCAGTTAACTGTATAATAATAATGATTAATATGATATGATTTTTTTCAATAATTAATTTCTCTAGATGTTCACTACCAAATTAAATCAGGCCCATTCATCTACCTCGATAATTGTGTCCAGATATCATTGGGCTTTAACAAACTAAATGGGCTTAAAACTACTTGATACCGTTTATCAATGGGGCTTTAACAAACTAATGGGCTAAAAGTTACTTGATACCATTTGTCTACCAAGCCAATATTTAATTCCCGAATGCGCTGACCCTACGTGGCTGCTTTTGGTGTTTCGAAATCTTATTTGGCGAAGAATCATGCTTCGTAATTAGATTTGGATAAATAATATTGATATATTAATAATTAATAATCTAGGTTCGGGTATTCCATAAATATTATTTAGCTAACTTAGGTATTTTAATATTACTTTTACTAATATAACCCTTTAATTCTTTGTAATTTTACATAGTGAGGCACTAAGTGACTAATATATCCCTAGATTTTGATTTGTTTCCTTCAATAAGCTATTGAATTATAAATGTATTTTAAAAGTTGATAACTTTTGTATTTCTTATCGGTTTTACATATATAATATATCAAATTAATCAACTTTTGATGATCTTCAATTTGACATATATATATATTGTATATATGAAATAAAAAAATTATATTTATCCTCCCTATATATAATTCCCGAATGCGCTGAGCCTACGTAGCTGCTTCTGGTGCTTCAGAATCTTATTTGGCGAAGAATCATGTTTCGTAATTAGGTTTAGATAAATAATATTGATATATTAATAATTAATAATCTAGGTTCGGGTATTCCATAAATATTATTTAGCTAACTTAGGTATTTTAATATCACTTTTTACTAATATAACCCTTTAATTCTTTGTAATTTTACATAGTGAGACACTAAGTGACTAATATATCCCTAAATTTTGATTTGTTTCCTTCAATAAACTATTGAATTATGAATGTATTTTAAAAGTTGATAACATTTGTATTTCTTATCGGTTTTACATATATAATATATCAAATTAATCATCTTTTGATGATCTTCAATTTGACATCTATATTGTATATATGAAAATAAATAAATTATATTTATCTTTATAATAATAAAAAACATAATATTTATTAAAATTCATTAGGAAAATAAAATTATTTCTCAATTGATACATTTATATGTAATGTAGTTATATATTGTAAGTTCAAAAAAAAATAGTAAAATATAACACAAGTAAGTTGCACAAATAAAAAGTGTCATAATAAATATATAATAAAATATATATTCTTATAAAAGGTATTTAAATTTTCAAACTAATTTTTCTCATTAATTTTAGATTTTAAGAAAAAAAAAAATATCAAACACCCGTATAATACACGGGTGTTGTACTAGTATATTTGCTAGCAATATAATACCAGGGTTATACTTAACTAACCATAGCTTATAAATTTGTCAAGTGACACCATGATCATACAAATCAGGCAAACTACAATAAACATCAATTTTACCCAAAGAAAAAATATGAAATTCTTTCATATTGAGCCTTGGACATATAAGAGCATCTTCAATGGTTGAATTGGATTAAGAATTGAATAGACGGTCTTTCGGTCTACGTGTAAGAAATAGAATGTCATGTTGATATGTCACTCTCCAGTGGTAGATGTCTAAACACAGTAAATGTTTATATACGTGTTTTATTTTTTGAATAGTACCATCCACAACTCAATTGATATTCATCAAGTTTTTTATATCAGGTATATTTATTTTTTTTTTGAATAACTACCACCCACAGCGCAACTGATATTCATCTCGTACTTTTTTGTATTTTTCTGTTATTATTTTGTATTCATTCGGTATTTTTTTATCATATATTTTTTTAACAACTGATATTTAGTATTCTTCAGTTAGTAT